GTAAATTTGAAACAGCAAAATAGGAGAAAAACCCTAAATAGGCGTGAACTATTTCATATTACAAAAATGCGTTTTCTTCTCTTCCATCGATAGAAAACACTACATCACGGTTCCCAATGGAAACTCCAACTGGTCTTTTTTCCTTTCTTTCATCTTCTTTGAATACCCAATCAAAACAATCAGTTGTTATAGAAGGAAAAAAAAGACACAAAAAAAAAAAAGCAAGAAACTTCATATATTCAAAAGGTACAAAAGAAAGCGATGGCGGAAAAAAAAAGGCAAAAAAAATTAACTGAACTAATGACAAACCTGTGAATAGAAAAAACTGTTGTCCAATCGTCACTCCAACGCCAACATTCACCTAACAACAACTGCAACTGCAAAACAACATCACCAACACCTCCAACAACGACAAATAACAATGATGGACCAACTAAGGAAAAATAAATTCTGCCAAAGCGAAAAATGAGAAGAGTAGGTTTAACCAAAGATCAATAAACAAGAAATCAACTCTGAATTTGCAAAAAAACAAAAAAAAAAAGTACACGACGTCTACTTTTCATGCTTTTTTTAAAAGCCGATATATACACATCAATAAGCATACGTTTCCATCAATGGTAATATTAAATAACCATCTTTATTTCCCATTGCTTCACTCGACTCTTTCCTCTCCTTTTTCTCGTCGTCTTCATTGTCTTCCTCGTTCACAACCTCAGAAAAAAACACAAAAAAAAAAAAACAACTTCTCTTCCAAAACATTCTAAAGCCATAATACGAAGAAAACTATTAAAACAAAAGACAACGACAACAGCAACAACAAAAAGAAGAAAGTGCCCCTAACCCATAACATATTTTTAACACAAAAAACAGACAATAGGAAAAAAATAAGCAGCTTCATGCATTTTAATCTTCAAATTCCCAAGACATTCTTTTCCAACGCGAATTCGGGAGGAAACGGCAGTAAAAAAAAAGCAGTAATATTAACAACGATGACAACGACAACAACAGCAACAATTTATCTTCTCACCGATTCCCATTTAACCGTTCACTTTACTGACTATATAATTGGCGCAATTGAAAAAAAAAAAAA